TTAAAAATAAGATAAAAGTATTAGAAATATTTCTTTACCTCCTTACACCATCTAGCAGTTCTTGATTTTGAGGATCATACTTCAACCCCGCTTGGTAAGTTTCCATGGCTTTTTCGTATTCTTTCATAAAGAACTGAACAGCACCCTTTCTAGTGTAACCCTTTGCAAACGTTGGATCAAGCTCGATGCACTTCTCTGCATCTTTAAGGCCCTCGGGCAGTGCACCTAATTTTGTGTAGCAGGCAGCCCTGTTGCTGTATGTCTAACATAAAGAACAAGACATATGCATCAATAATAGTTTCTAACAAAGGAATAGACAAATTCACTAGATTCTACAGAGGAACAGAAGATGGATGAAGGCAATACCCTTGGATCTTTAGGATTCCTCCTTAACGATTCTGTATAACGCGAAACTGCCTCTGGATACTTCTGCTCTTTGAAAAACCGGTTACCTGTAATCAAAGCAAAGAAAGTTAATAAACAAATAAAGAAAGGATACAACTAAGAAAAAGCCGTAACAGCAAGAGAGGTACCTTTCTCACGCTCCTCATCTGCTACTTGTGGATCAAAATACTCTTGTTGTTCCAATTCTTTCTTCGCCTTCTCAGCCCCATTGCGTTTTTTCAGTGTCTCAGGGTTACGATGTTCAGTAAGAGCTTTCTGGAAAGTTTCAATTGCAGGTTCATAATCCTTTGAAATTTTTGCCATCTTCACAAGGGCAGTTCCCTTTCGAGTCAGAGCCCTTGCAATCATCTTATAGTCTGATCTGAGCTCCCTCCCCCTTTCAACAGCTTTGTCACAATCTTTCATGCAATCCTCATACTGAAATTAAGACAAACTAAAATAAGGAAGAGGTCTGATGGACTATTCATGACTTGAATAAAACCCATGCAGAAGGATACACAAGTTTATCATAGCACCACATCAGCGGAATGATACATTTCTAAACCCTCCATGCCATAGTGGAAAAAAGAGGATCAAATGAAATGCAATTATACATCACAACAGAGATGGAAACAAATCCTAAACAAAACAATTAACTCATATGCTTACTCGGAAACTCCTCTTCCTCCGCCCTGAACTTGTCTTCCCTTTATTTTAATAAACTAGTAGTGGTCTTAGATGATCACAAATCACCAAGTAGAACTTGTTACATTTTCTCCTAAAGTTAGTTTTAAGCTCATTTCAAAGTATATTAAACAAGAATAGATAGACAAGGCAGAACAAACGAGACCTGACCAAAAAAATCAATTAGTAAACCACTAATTCTTTTACAGAATTCATCGACATTTCATATATTTTTCATGCAATAGGATCTAGATTACTGCACTACCAAAAAAACTAATTTAATTAGAAAAGGCACATATATTCCTTTTTAGTTTTTAATGCACAACCAAAAAAGTAACTGAATTACAATGCACAATAGATTGGACAGGGAGTTATTCCTTTTTAATTTCAGTCTCCTACTCTCTATCCCTCTATTCATATTTTTACTCAACCCAGTTTTCCTCTTATTTTACAATCTGCATCAAAATCTAATTATGCAAACATACTCTTGGGTATCTACCTATTTTCTTATCGGTGCTCTTCATAGCTACTTCGAAAGATAGTAGCACAAAAAGACAAATAAGAGAGCTCATTACCACTATCTTTATGTATGCAACAATTCCTTTATCAATGAGAAAAGCAACAAACTTTTCTAGAAGTATCAAATTTATACGAGCTTAGCATTCTATATGAGCTCACATTACCAGTTCCAAGCCCGAATTAAATCTAGAGGAGAGTCACACATAGTCTTACCCCGCTAAAACTAGTCAATTCATAATTGCATTGGGACCTAATCTCCTAGGAATATATTGCTTGAACATAACTAGTTTGTTTGAGGCATAGTAGTTGTTGTGTCAAATACGCAGCGTTAGAATAGCAGGATTTCTTCAAACAGATCATCATCATGCTCAAAATAAGGAAATAAGAAAAACAATCAACTACCAAGGGTTTGACTAGTAGTTAATCAAGTGAGTTACAACCACGAGGTCTCCGGTTCGAAACTCATGTGAGGCAAAAAATACTACTCCCTCAATTCCATTTCAATTTATTTATCTTACTTTTATTTTTAACCCGTTTCAAAGTTCTTTATTTCTTAAACTCCATGTCAAGTAGAAGAAACCAGACAAACAAATTGAGAAGTGTGAACATTGGCCTGGATACCACGGTTAGCAAACAAACAAACAAAAACCAAGGAACTCCATAAACATACATTATATTATAACAGTGTAAAGAGTTCTACGTTATACCTTTCCCATCTCCAAGAACACAGCAGCACGGTTAGTAAGAAAAGAAATATCAGCATCATCCAGCTCAATTGCCTTACTATAAAGCTGAACTGCATTCTCAAAATCCTTCTTCTTATACGCCGCATTACCCGCCTCCTTCTCCTTCAGCGCCAACACTTTCCTCTCCTTCAACTCCTTCTCCTCCTCTGACACTTCCACTGGTTCGGGCTGAGGTACGGGTTGTGCCTTGTACCCGGCCCGTTTCTCCTCTTTCACGGGCTCACTCTCTGCCCGTCTTTTTCTCTCCGGTGAACCTCCCGGCATCTTCACACCCTCCTCTGGCGTCCTAGTATCCCATTTCATCCCTAACAAAACTCCGAACGCTTGCATTACTCTCTGATCCTTCATATAAAAATTCAAATTGTTTGGATTCTTCTGTATATCCTGCATCATTCTTACAAAATCCGGTTGTTGCAAATACGTTCGGGTCCTCGGGTCACTTGTCAACTTAGCCCACATATCCGGCCCGGAAAATGCATCACCAAACGAACTACTCGGACCTCTACCTCGACCCTGACCCGACTGAGCATCCGAAAGCCCGGATTTCAACCCTTCATTATTAGGATCAATTTTCAAACCCTTTCTATACGCTAAAACGGCGTCGTTATAGTTATTCAAGCCTACATAAGCAGCTCCAACCCGAGAATAACCTTTAGACCAATCCGGTTTCAGTTCAACGGTTTTCTCAGCGTCAATTAAGGCTTCGGAGAATTTGTTCAAGGAAGCGTAAACTGCTGATCGGTTAGAGTAGAGAACGTGATTGTTAGGGGAGAGATTGATTGCTTCAGTGAAGTGTCGCACGGCGTCGGTGAAGTTACCGGCTGCGAATGCAGCGTTGCCTTTGGACTTAGATTCCTCGGCGGCGGCGGCCATTGTTGTTTTTCTCCGGCGAGTTGTTGGTTTGTTCGTTCTTGTTCTAGAGATTCCTTGTAACTGCACGGAAAGAAGATGAATTAGGGGATTATATAGGGAGGTGGGGAGGGGGGAGGGGGTTGAAGGATGGCATTCGCGGCACATTTTAGGAGTACATTTTTTTTAAAAAATAAAAAAATATCTACACAAAAAGCCGTATATTCAAATATTTACTTTGTTTCGATTTATATGATATATATTTTTTTCATATATTATATCTATTTTTATATGTTTAATGAACTAAAATAATTATATGTTGAAATAATAATTTGAAATTATTATAGGAATTCTAAGTTGTGTAGTATTTGTTATTTACTTATATCTAGTTACGATTTATTTTTCTTAATCTTGATATCAAATGACGTGTTGGTATTAAGAAGGAAGGTATATTCTGACCCGAAAAGGAAGCTATTCTGTTGCACAAAGCTACCAAGCTTTGCAGGGAACTTTGCCTAAAATGCAACAAGTATGGAGTGCAGTATAATGCTATCCAAGTAGCGCATTATAGTTTGGTTGGCATAACAAGAAAGGTTGCTCACAAATGAAAGGTTAGTATACCTAAACATTTCCATTGATACCAAACAATGTTGCTAATGTGAGGAGGACTAAGAAGAGACACAATTACACCTGTTTGCAGAATGTCGATATGTATATGAATTTAAGAGTAAATTGAGTAGTTGGCTAGGGATAGAAATACAATGTAAATGAGTGTGTTGCATACTTCAATGGATCAAGAGAAGAAGGTGGAAGCACTTTCAAAAGGAGATAATAGCACCAGTATGGGGGACAATGATCTACTACACGTCACAGTCAAGGAATTTTACCAAAATATGCGATTACACAAATATAGAAGAAAATACGTGAGAGAGTATACATGTTACAAAGTACAAAGAGAGTTCATAGATGTCAAAGGTTGATTTTGCAACTTATGTAATTAAATGTTTGTTTTCTCGAGATCTAGTGGTTATGAGGTATCCTTAGAAGATGGCTGAAAACACTAGAGGCTCCTTAGGGTGTAATATTTGTTTGGTATGGTAATATTTCACATTTTATCACCCAAAAAAAAGAGAGAAATAATAAAATTTAACTCTTTAAGTTTACGAATAAAAAGCAGAAAATAGTCCTTGTCTTTAAATATGTTAAGTAGCAAAAAAAAAAATGGTCGCAACACAAAATTAGCAACGCACACCCGTAAGACAAAATTAGCAACGCACAAGTAATGTGTTATACGATATAATTTAGTTCCTATAAAATTTATATCAGTTCGTTTTAAGAACCAACAATGTTAAACTTGTTGTATGCAAATTAAATACTCCCTCCATTTCATTTGTGAGACAATGTACATTCATGAAGAAAAACATTCAAGAACATAATTTAAACTATATTTTTCATTATTACCTTTTTGTTTATTCCCAAGTTATTCTTAAAAATAAAAATAGTCATTACTTAAAATGTAAAACTTCATTAAAGGGAAAAACAAATATGAAAAAAAATTCAAACATTTATTTTGAACTTTATACAATAAAAAAAAATCCAAAATTTACTTATTATGGAATAGAAGGAGTAATACACAATTTATTCTAAATAAAGTAGAGTGATTATTTTGAATAAAGATTATCGATTTGAGGGACAAAAATTAACGACGAGGAAAATTCATGCAAAAATTTGAGTAGTTAAGAGCCCATAATACAAAGAGGCCCATAATATTGGCCCACATAGACCCATTAGCATCTTCTTCTTCCTGCAAGATCCATTTCCAGAAAAAAATTAAGAAAAATTAAAGCTCGCATCGCCAAACAGCACCTACCTCTGTCGAAGTCTTGAAACAGTGGACGGAATCGAATTGTATGTATTCCTTTTTCTTCTTACTCTCTCTGTAATTTTACGAAACTCATTTTTTTTTCCCATTGAATATCGTCCGAGTTATACTTAATTGTTTTGAGCTGTTTTCAGAGCATGTTTAATCATATTTTTTGAGGTAAACTTGATTTTTAACTCTTAAACTTGGATGAATTGCTTACTTTTTGTATTTTGTTAGAACCCAAAATTACAATTTTATTGATAGATTTCTAATCTAATACTCCCTCTGTCCCAATTTAGTTTGATTGGGCATGTAGTTTATGGAAGTAAAGAAAGATCTTTTCAATTTTAGTGGTCTTAAACTTGCCACGTAGAAGGTTAAAATATAGAATGAGAGGATTCTTTTTCAAGCTAATGAAAAAGGAAAGTTAGATACTTAAATTGGGACGACGTGAGTACTATCTTCTGTTGCATTCTTGTAATTTGTTGTCCATTGATGTTTTTTGGAGTTATTTCTTTTGCAATTGCTGAATTTGTATAATTTTTGTATATGAGTGATTAGGAACCTGATTACTGACCTCTTTGTAGGACAAAATATGATTTTTTTGAAAGGGTTTGAATCCCTGGACACTATAACTAACCTGTTTGGAATTAGTCGAAGTGTGCCAAGCTAGCATGGACACCAATGTGACACCACGGTTATCAAAGAAAAGATGAATTTTTTGAAAATGTACAATAGATCAAATTCATTTCTGTGATGCTCCTTTAGTCGGTACTGATGTGAGAATAACATTTAAGAATCAGTGTATTTGGAATGGTGTTGCAAAGATTGTAATTTTCTTAGGAATGTTACCTGCCATTTTATGTGATTTTGTAGGGTTCTGTTAGTCTTCGAAAAACTTGAAGAATGTTCTTTGTTTACAGTGATCCTTTACGGATGTAGCCTAAGTAATGGGTGTACATTAGAGATGTCTGTGACCAAAAGCTTTTGTCACGCTATTCCACTTGAATATATAACTGCCTGTTCCACGTAAGATGGTTTTTATTAGTAGATTATACATTTTTTTTGTTTTTGATAAAGATTACACCTTTCCATTTTCTTTATATAATCTAACAAAATAAATTTGAAGTCCACTACCAGTAAGCTAAGCAAGTTGTACACCATGTTATTTCTAATAAGAGCGGAGTATTTTTTGACAAAACCGCTTTTAGTTCAGCTAGCTGCGCTTATGAGGTCAACCCTTGGTGCTCTGCCTTGTGCCAACACATGAAGGGCAACGAGTAAAACTGTAAGAGCAGTACAATCATAAGCACACTTTAAAGCTTTGCCTTTCCAAGGCAGATCAACTAGCCAGACCTCAATAGAATACCTGGAAATAGCAGCTACATGCTTGAACTGATGTAGGAAAACTACTTAATATTCACTTCAGAGTGATGAATGAAGCCACTAGAAATGTATTGGAGCACTAAGTGTTGAGCATTAAGCTTTGCTTTCTTTTTTTACATTTCTGCTTGATCTCTCCATTAATGTTTCAATGAATGTTTCTTAATTTTTTTATCAGAAGGAATAGTTTAGAAATAGTCTACCTAACGTTGAGCCAATACATTTTAAGCTTTCTTAGAACAGAATTTGCATTTCATCTTGTGTCCTCTAGGCTCTGAACTTTATTGAACTTACTCATTTTTGTCATCTTTAGAATTAGTATTACTCATAGTGTTGCTCCATTGCTTAAAGTGCCGGAGCAATGCGAAACGATGGTTTACAATTCTAATAATGTGAAATGAAGCAATTTGTAAGAGACACTGTAAGTCATAAAGTGATCCAAGCGAGAACCAGTCACTTCTGTGAATGTAAATTTACGGGCCTTTTGCTACATTTGTACTCAGACTCCTATCTTTGTTGTCTTCTTCATCATCTTATTTTTCTAGCTTGCAATGGCTCTTCTATTTTTCTGTATCTCTGTATCTGCTGAGTTGCTTCTTACTTCGTTTTCTTTTATGATGACTTTTTGTTCTTTTGATGTGTGGCCCTTCTCTTCTCTGCTTCTTCTGCTTCAAGCCTTTTTTCATTTTCTTCTTCTACTATCGATTGTTTTCAATAATTCTTTTTATTCTTTCTTGTCTGCTCTTTATTTCGGTATATCTCTGATTCTTGATTTATAAGTTGATTGATAAGAAGATAAGCAATGACAGTTGCAACTTAAGTTGATATTAGTGCAGTGGTCAAGGCAATCAAATATGAATATTGAACGCTGCAAATCTATTATTTTACTCGTGAAACCTACCCTTACAGAGTCCAATCTATTTGTCTTCAGCTGTGCACTTCAGTAGTGGAAGGTTGACAATAGACTCTATTATATTATATTCATTTCTTAAGCGAGAAACAAGAATAATGCTGAATCCTGTTTGTTGTCTACCATCTATTGGTAAACAAAAAATTACAAAATGAGAGAGGTTTCCAGAACTTCTTGGAACATTGTATCAGAAAAAGGTGTCCAAAAGCACAAATGTCTTGTTATATCCGTGTATTGTGTCCTCCATGTCAAGCCAAGTTAATTTGTATGTATGAGGATAGGTACTCAATCCATTCTATTTATCCTTCCATTTTGTTTCCTGTTGCTAAAAAAGGATATGGCTGTCTTAAGTTTCCCTGCTCCAATGCATTCCCTAGCATTAGTTGTTTCATCTGCAATTGATGCTATGTTGTTGATTTCTACACTCATGTTTGTGACTGTAGGAAACTACACTTGGGATTGAAATGAATGGTGTTTCTTCGTCCGGTGGTATAAGAGGTGCTTTATCCTATTGTGTGCAGCAAGTACGACGTTATGATTATCATCACTACCTCTGCCTTCTTGAACTTCCAGCAAACATGCGGAAGGCTGCATTTGCGCTCCGAGCTTTCAATGTCGAGACATCCCGAGCTATGGATGTTGCATCTGATCCCAAAATTGGTCTTATGCGCTTGCTGTGGTGGCAAGAAGCTTTGGACAAGATCTATTCAAACAAGGTGATTGAGCATCCAGTAGCTCAGGCCCTCACTTCTGTGGTATCTGAACACAAGGTTAGCAAAAGTTGGCTGAAACGAGCTGTGGAATCCCGAATAAATGATGCGAATAGAGAAAATAATGATATTCCACAAACTATCGAAGAATTGGAGCGATATGCTGAGGACACAACATCAACTATTCTGTACTCTACACTTCAAGCAGGTGGTATTAAATCCACAGCAGCAGACCATGCTGCTTCACATATTGGTAAGGCAAGTGGACTCCTTTTGTTGCTTAAATCACTGCCATACCATGCTAGTCGAAACCATCAGTTTTCATATATACCAGCCAAGGTGGCTGAGAAACATGGATTGTTGGTTCACCAAAGTGGTCAGTCAGAGATCAAAAAGGACTCGCGTGAGGCCCTTTGTGATGCAGTTTTTGAAATGGCATCTGTAGCTAATGCACATCTGCAGAAGGCTCGACAATTGGCAGAAAGTGTGCCAGCTGAAGCTCGTCCTGTGCTTTTGCCTGCTGTGCCTGCCCAAGTCATTTTAGATTCTTTGGCTCGGGTGCAGTTTGATGTGTATGATCCACGGCTGGCACAAGGAATCTTAGGGGCTCCCCCGCTGTTGTTTCAGTTGAAACTAAAATGGTATTCATGGAGGGGCAAATATTGACTACCCTTTTTCATCCCTTTATAGAGTATGCGTGTTGCTAACCACTGACTGACAATGAGTAATTGAATCCTTACATGAATAAATTGATGTTTCTTTGGTTGATCCTGCTGGTGTTTCGTCCATACGCGCAAAGAGAAGAACATAAGCTACACGTGTTTGGATAAATTTCTGCAAGTACTTTGGCCGTCTGGTTTTGACAGTCATGTTTCACTCTGGGTTGAGGCTTTTCGAGTTTGTTTTTAACCATATTGCTTGAAGTGCTCGGTTTTGTCTGAGAAGCACAGCCAGAAAATCACAAGAAGCAATTGGATATTTTTTGGTAAGCCACATCTATTAACCATTCAAGCTTTGTTTAATAGTGTCATCTCTATCATCTTCATCTTAGCTTACGAGTTTTGAACTCCGGCAAGTGTAATGTGGACTTTGAATCTAATTCGACTTCAAAGCTAGCTCATGATACGAGAATTTCCCAAGACCATACGAGGTGTCCAGTTCCACATCTCACAAACCAATGTAGGATAACTTAACCAAATGTCTTTTGTGATACATTTTGAGCAGTGGACGCCTAGCGTGGAAAGGCATGTAAGGTCCAAATATGGATAATGCATGTCAAAGTTTGGACAACCATTTCTTGTTAATCAAGAATTTTAGTAGTAAAAAACTGTATCTCTTCACTGCATACTATTTTTTTTGGATTCCAGGCCAGTTTGTGTGTATCTCGACTAACTTTACGGGATACCTATTACCTCCCACCAACAACGATAATGCTTTTTTATCTCTACTGGAATTTGAACATGAGACTTGATGTTTACTATTGTGAACATGACTATTCAAAAGTGATGATTTTTTTTTAAAAAAAATGTATTTATTCTTATCATTGCCATGTAGCATACTAGTGGTGAATTATAAGAACAGAATTAGCAGACATAAAATTATATATGATGATGTTATTTCATGATTGAGTAATTGACAGCTTGAATTGGATAATCTTTATTAGTGAAAAGCATCAAAACTTTTGTTTTTTTTCCATTCTTATCTTTATCTTTTAGCATATTTGAGGTTGATAAAACAAGTATATGGTAGAGTAAATGAAAGGAAAATAGTACAATATCGATAATCAAGGGGTAGTCTAGTGATCAATGAAATAATCAAAGTCGTTGGAAACAAACATACACTATGAGTATCCATGCACCTAAGTTTTAGTAGACTGAATTATCGATCGGGTGCATATATTGGTAGGAGAGATGGTTTACTGGGTGAAATAATTAAGACAAGCAATATGGTTGTAACTTGTAAGGATAGTATTACTGTATTAGATATGAATTCAGACGAACTTAATAGCTTTTGCTTAAAACTTGTATTGTTATTTCGTTTAATTTATGATCTTACTTAGAAAGCTATTAGTATATTATCCTACTACATTTAATTTTTAACCATCATTTGTATATTACAATTATGTTAAACGACTCTTCAAATATTTATCCTAAAGATATAACAATGATTTATTTGAAGGATTTAAGAGTTCCAACTGCCAACATATACTCTTGTACAAATAAAAAAAAATTATGAAAGGGCAAATACAATAACTAAATTACATCTTCTCAAACTCGACATCCTTTTTCCGAGTGTGATAAAAGAAACTAACGGACTGATCACTAAATAAATAAAATATATACAAATTCCAACATGATCAAATAGTCAAAGACGAATCTAATAAGTAGTAAATGTAATCACATACATTACTCTTCTCAAACTCGACATCCTTTTTCCGAATGCAATAAAAGAAAACTGATCACTAAATAAATATAAATATATACAAATCCAAACATGATCAAACCGTCAAAGACGAATCTAATAAATAGTGAATGTAATCACAATACATTACTTTCTTCAAATACACGCAAATTAAAAAAGCTATACTTTTAAATTTTGGATTCGCTTCGCCTCCACGACAACTTCCACCGCCACTAGTTGGCGGCAATTCTTGATAATTCTTTACTTTCTTCTACGCACATAAGTTAAGTTAAAAATGTACTTTCAAATCTAAGATTCACCCCTAATCACAATTCACCAGTACTTACACCTTTCACGACAACTTCCATCGCCACCCATGACAGAAATTCATTACTTTCTTCTACACTCATAACATATTAAAACAATGTACTTCTAGATCTTAGATTCAATTCTGATCACAACTCACCAGTACTTATACCTCCACCTCCACCTCTCGCGACAACTCCCACCACCACCCGTGGCTGCGATTCTCGATTGAACGTTCTCGAATTCGGATATCCGACAAGGGATTTGGATCCCACCCGAATGATTGAACCCATAAACCATTTCAGCCTCTCTCAACAAATCAACAAACAAAGGGTGATTAAAGTAAATCACAGGCACTAAAACTCTACATGCAACATCTTCTTTTTCACCAACATACACAGCCAAATGACCCTTTGGTATTTGGTTCTCATCCATCAATTCTGACCCGACCCGAATATAACCCGACCTGGTTTTGCAAAATTGACACTTTTAACCCCATGCTTCAACAAATTTCCAAAATTACATAGCTTTGAAATTGCTTTTGTTGCACAATTGGAAGATCCCAAATGTTTGTAGCTGATTTTTCCCTTTTTTCTCCTATGAATAAACAATTTGAAAACTCTCACAAGTCTCCTTCCAAGCCTAAATCCTCTAACTTTCATCATTTTTTTTTCCGATAATCGAATCGATAAATAAATTATAAGTTTTTATTGTCAAATCAAAATACCTTTTTATAATATTTCTCTATAAGAACTGACGCTTTCTAACTCTGAAGATCTTTGCCCGAGATCAAACGTCTCAACTTTTTTTTTGATGGAGACAGAATCAATCTATATCGTCTGACTTTTTTACCTTTCTATGAAGATCTTTACCTCGAGATAAAACGTACTTTTTCTTCTTTGAACTTCACTATGAGAACTGGCGCTTTCTAACTCTTTAAGAAAATCTTCGCCCCCAGATAAAAAGTATCAAAACTTTTCTTTGACTAAAACATGTAACATGGGAATTCGTTACTGTGTCTCAGTATGAGAACTGACGCTTTCTAACTCTCTATGAAGATTTTCTCCTGGAGATCAAAAGAACAAAAAAAAGTATTTGTTGAATTCTTGAAATTGGCTATAATGTCATAGAGGATTTCAAGAAATTGTAACTGACATTGCTAGGGGTGATTTTGGTCATATTTTGAAAATTGAAATGGAGTTTATAATATTGCTAAAACTAGTGTTTGTTTGTGTTTTTGATTTTTGGGACAGTTTGGCTTTTTTGTAGAGTACAAATGATGATGACAAAGACCAACACTAACTATAAATGGGACACAGAAGTACAGCAAGTATTTAGAGAATCTTTATGATAAACTTTGATTTGTTTTGAATTGAGACGTAATTATAATTGTCAGAGATAATTCAAAATAAATAAATAAATAGTAATTACTAAAGAATATTATGTAGTGTATGAAGTTGTTCTTTTCTTAATCAAAATTTTCGGGTTGAGTTCTAGGTACGGAAGATTTCTTGATAGAGAACGTTTTTTTCCGAATGGGATCGTATGCGACACGAATCTGAATTTATCAAACTTCAATACGGATACTGAATATCGAATAAGAAATCAAAAATAAAAATAATATATATATATATATATATTGGTTGGGGTGGGGGGGG